GTCTGTAAACCAGCTGGTCTGTACACCAGTTGGTCTGTACACCAGTTGGTCTGTAAACCAGCTGGTCTGTAAACCAGTTGGTCTGTAAACCAGTTGGTCTGTAAACCAGTTGGTGTACAATCTAAACAGACGGTTTTACATGCAAAGATTTTAGGATCATCTCTGAGGACGTCTGTAAACCTCCTGTTAGTTAATAAAGAACAGGTCCAGACACGTCGCATTAACTCGACTGATACCGACCTGGACTTGGTAGCACCAAGTTAGGAGAGTATCGCTGATGGCTTTATACACTGAACACCTGGCTAGAATATGACTGGCTACACTATACGAGTGAGGACCCAGCCAGAGTGGAGCGACTTAGCCGACAGCCTGATGGAGAAGACGGGCGACGGCTGGTATGACGTCCAGGCAGGTGGAGGATCCTCCACGATGGAATCCAGAGTGAGCCAGATCGACGGTGGATGACCGACTGGAGGCTCAAAGGCGAAGGAGAACCAGAGGTTAGGATCAGAGGCCTGGGTTAGACCAACACTGGTAGTCAACAGTCCGGCGTCGAGCCGCGCTCTGGATGTGGCTTTTATTGCAGACGGTGATGAGTTGCAGGTGGACCACTCCCCTCGCTCAGGTGATCATCCAATAGGCTGCACCTGCCCGCACACACACCCAGCTCACACCCACCTGATTAAAAAAAGGAAAGAGACGAGGGAGAGGGCACGACAGACAGCGACCACATGGACTACAAAAATACACAAAACTACCAAAAAGAGACATAAAATAACCACAAAGATGCATAAACAAATAAATAAAAATGCACAAATTAATGCAAAATGACTAGAAAGTGACAACAATGACACAAAACAACCACAAAGTGACTTAAATCACCACAAAGAGATGCAAAATTACCCCAGACCCACAAAACAACTACATAAAGGGAACAAATGTCCAGTTATTATGTAAAGCGACCGCAAAGGGACAGAAATGGCCACAAAAATACACAAAATGTCCACAAAGGGGCGCCAAACAACCACAGAGACATAAACAAACAAATAAAAAGGCACAAATTGATGTGAAATAACCAGAAAGTGACAACAATGACTATAGAAGGACGCAAAACAACCACAAAGTAACAGAAAATCACAATAAAAAAGCCCAAAATGAACACAACTTAATGTAAAATAACTACAAAGTGACAGAAATGGCCACAAAAATACACAAAATGTCCACAGAGGGGCGCCAGACAACCACAAAGAGAACACGACCACAAAAGGATGCAAAAAGGCCACAGACGCACAAAATGACGATACAAGGTGGAGAAAATAATGATCCTGCGCTGGTTTAAACAACCACAAAGTGACGTCAGACAATCACACGTGGAGGTAAAAGGATGCAGAACAACCACAGAGACACAAAACACATCCGTAGAGCTTCAGAACAACACAAAAATGAACAATAATGTTACAGCCAGTGTGATGAAACTCCTGTTCTGGTCACAACACCCCGATGGAAACAAGTAAACGCTCTCACATATTATATTATATAGTTTTAAGGCTTTTTGAATGCCTAACTATGCATCAGAGCAGCTGAGGTTTGATGAACGAGGCCATATTTCTCCTTTCTTTAACTTTAGTTCTGACTAAAACATCCCAGAGTGGACGGCTGAGCGTTATCTGGACACTTGTTGGTTGTAAGTTATTATAAACGTTTGCTTGTTTCTGTCGTTAAACGCCTTCATGTAAAGTCACAACCTGCCTGTTTTCTCCACTTTCTCTTTCTCGGACATGTCAGCTTCCTCCTCCTCCTCCTCCTCCTCCTCCTCCTCACAGCTCTGAAACAATCATCGGAAGTGCCTCCCACCCAGCCGACCGGCCGGCCGCCCCCGACCCACCGGAAAGCTGCCCCAGCTCGGTGGGCCTGGACAGGAACAGCCTCCCTCCGTCTCTCTCCGGCTTCACTTGAATTCTCTTTAATCTGCTGAGAGGTTGTCGAGTGAGACGCATTTCCACAGCATCAGTTCTGAATAACTCACTTTCTTTAACCCTCTGAAGTCAAAGCAGCTCCCGTCACAGCTCTACCGACTGTGGGCTCATTTTTCAGTTTGAAGTCCTGAACCTCTGTGGAAACAGAAAAACCACGACCAGAAGCAGCTCGAC